CCGCTTCTCCCAATCGTTGGCAATAAGCCTTCTGGCCTTTGCCCAAACACGGTAATGGGGCACAAAACACACCTACCGGACGGACACCCACGGGGACCTTGGGAATAAGATACATCAAAACGACCGCAATCTGCGCGGGAAGAAGCCCAGAGGTTTCCATGACCTGAAAAATGGACAGCAAGGCGTTCAACCCTTGATCAGACAACCACCCTATGTGTCTGATGTGGAAACCGTCAGAGGCCACCGCCGAGCGCTCTTTGTGCCGAAGGCACAGATTTCGAACCGCATCCAGCTCGAGCGGCGGCAAGGGAGGGGCGGGGGTAATCACCGCAGGGGTAGGGGTGGGGGAGGGGGTAGTTCTCCACGGCTTTTTGTACCTGGAAGTTTCGAATTGCATGATGCTTAAGGGATCACTCACCACCCTGCCGTCGCAAGAGAGCACGGTGGTAGGGTGCCAGGGGGTGGGGGCCTGAGAATCCAGGTGAGCGTTTCGCCCTCGTTGGCCAACCCCTTTCAAAAGCCGACTCCTCCATCCTTGCGAAGCCCCCTGCCGATTCCTCTTGAGGACCGAATCCAGGGCCTCGCGGACGGTGGACCGAAAAACACTGATGCCACACTCTAATCCTTTCCAATGGGCGTCGATCGCGTCAGCGGAGCGGTGACGCCAATTCAAAAACTCACGGAAGAGATGCTCGTAGTCTCCCGCGCGCTTGCTGACAGTCAGGGGGGTGGAAAACCCGTGGGAAATGGCGTTCCAGAGGCCGTCCTGATCGGGGCGCTGAATGGCAGACTCAAGCATGCCCGAGGCCTTCCAAAGCCATCGGATGGAGAGCAGCTCGGGGTGTCTGGAAGGCTTCGCGTCTTTCGCCACAACCGAAGACCACACCAACAACGGGGGGGCCCCACGGGAACCCGGGTCCTTCAAATCAACTCCCGCCGCTTCCGCAATCTCCTTTTCCGCCGGGTCCGCCCAGAGTTGGTAGGGCGATGTGAGGAGAGACTGGGTGGCGGGGCCGTCGCCACGACGAGCCGCCTCAAGAGCCTCCGCGATCCGCGCCTGAGTGGAATGGTAGCCAGGGGCTTCGCGCAGAGGACCGATTATCCGAACGGCGGGGAAGCGAGCGGGTCGCTTCAAATTGAGGGCTCTCAATTTGCCGAACTGAGGGAAGAGAGTGAGCCGAACGGGCCAATGGGGCGAGAGATCCCCATCGGAGATGCGATCCAAGGCCTGGGCGGCGGAACTTAGCCCGGGACTGGCCAGAAAGCAATCGTTCATCCTCATCCCTCCCGTGATGAGCCAGGTGCCCGAACAATCTGGAAACATAATAATGCCGCATGCCCCCACTCTGCTTGTGAAAACTCTGCTCGTGTAAATCAATCGGGGGGTTGTTGAAATCCCCGCCGATGAGCCACGGTAAACATGAATTTGAAGCAGCCATTCCCGCGTCGGACAGGAGATGCTGATTCTTGGAGTCGGAACCGCTGCCGTCATAAAGGAAGACCGAGGTAACACAAAATTCAGTGCCACCTGGGATGCCCACGATACCCGAGATCACCCTAGAATCTTGGGCCCTTTGAACTGGATTGAGATGCGGGCCCAGGAAGTCCCCCGCGAAGATCGCCACTCCGCCAGTACTCCCAGAGCCTTCCCCAGGGGCCGCAGGGCCCCAAACACCTCGCCAACCTCGCCGAGTCGACCAGGCACTAGCTTTGTGGATCCCCTCCCCAGCCAGAATGTGGTGCTCTTGCATAAGCACAACATGGGCAGAAGCACCCTCAAGATACTTCTGACCAGTCATCCGAAGGAGAGGAGGGGGTGCTCGACCCCTGGGCCTGGGTGCCTAACCGAGACGATCCCAGGAGATCCTGAACCAAGATCCTAGTCCAGGTGAGCTTAGACCACAACGAATTTATAGTTGACCCTAGGCCGAAGTACGTGAAACCTGTGAACAAAAGCCTCCCCCCTCGGGCGCCTGCGGGCCGTTAGGCGCTCGCTGCGCCTTCGGGGTGGGGGGGGGGGGGGGGGGGGGGAGGGGGGTTAATGATGGCAGCTGCTGCCTCACGGGTGGCGCGGCGGGCCGCCGCCTCTGCGTCGGCAGGGGGAAGGGGGGGGGGGGGGGGGCTGTCTGGGCCGTGGTTCCACCGCTGGACCCAGCGCCGCCCTCAGGGGCAGGAGGTTCGCCGCGCCCACCTGCGTCCGCAGCGCCTCCCTCACCTCCAGGGGCGACAACTGGGTCCTCTGACCCCCCTGCTCGACGCTTCTTCTGAAGACGATTGATGAGCTCCGAACGTTCTGACCTGAAGGCCTTGACCTTTTCCGACGCCTCGCCGAAAAGATTGACCACCGCTGCGCGAATCTCCGAATGAAGGTGCTCCAAACGCTGCTTGGCCTCCTTCTGGGTGATCTCGTCAACCTCATACTCGTCTGAAAGGTCTCCAGCAAGCGATCCCAAAGAGATAGGTAACTCCGTGACAGCTCCAGAAATAACGTCGTCGATGCTGATGACCGACGGTGGTGGAGCAGCTCCACCCGTTTTCTCATTGAGAATGCGAACCAACCTTGTATGCTCCGACTCCGCAGCGTCCAACTCTCCAGTGACTGTCTGCACCCAGTCGAGCTGCGACTGAAGCTGCTCTTGAAGTCGCTGATGATGCGAGACCGCTTTGGAAAGCTTCGCCACCAAACTGCGGACTGAGTTGAAAGCGTGGGAAACTTGCTGCTGGAGCGTTGGCTCCTGGGCGGCGCTGGCCGCCTGAGCCTTCCTTTGCTCCAGCACCCTCTGGTAGCCCTTGGCCCCGTCGACGTCGACGATCTTGTTGAGTGCCTCGATAGTCTGCTGGATATCGCCGAGGGGCACGTTGGCGGCGAGATTGGGCAGCAGCGTCGGGGCGTTGGAGAACATGAACTGCGGCCCTGGACGGACTGGCAGCGCACCGCCAGGAGGAGGAGGCACAGCACCAGGAGGGCCACCAGACGACGGCAATGGCGGAGGGGGCACGTAGCCTTTCCACCCAGCTCCCCCCCAGCTGCCGCTCCAGTCGCGGCCATTCCCGCTGCGCTCCGTCTGCTGGCTCCAGTTGCGGTGGTGGTCCGAGAACGAGCCTGGGGCGCCCCAAGCCCATTGCCCACGAGGAGCCTGGCCACCTTCAACGGGCGAGACATCGTGGCGAGGGCCGTGACAATGCTTGCAATGCCGCCAGCGCCCCAAGTTACGCTTGCAACCGCAACTCTGACAGGTCCAGCGCGAAAGCGGGTCCTTGCTGGGGGGCATGGGACGTAGCCTTTGGAAGTGATCTTACCCTCGTTAACCGCCGATGGGCGGCTCTCAAGCTAGCACAATAAATGGTACAGCCAGGGCAAGTGGCCGAAATCTCCTGAAAAGAGTTCGAGCCAAAACAGCTTGAGAGGCTTGCCGATGTCCTGCCTGGTCAGTCTGCGTCCTGTGGCGGGACGAGGGCCAATCCGGATGAGCCGCCTCCTTGTTTGCTCGAGGGCGCCTTGGATCCGAGTTGCGGCCGTGGATGCGGCAGTGCTGCTGCGGTGCGAATTCGGCGTCTTGGAGGCGTCTTGGGGCACTTTTGCCGCATCTTGGGTTTTTTTCTGGGCCCCCGAATCGCCCGGGGGGGGGTCGTATCTGGGTGGCGACCCCTCCGGGACCCCACTCCAATGCGGCGGGGGAGGCTGGGAGGGACCCGGGGCAGCGGGCCGCGAACGGCCGAGGAGAGTCATCAGAGCGTGCAGCGCGGCGGGACTGTGCCAGAGGCAGGCCAGGGTCCTCGTTGCTGCCCGACGGGCCGCCTCCGCGCAGGAGTGGCCCATGGACTGGAGTGGACCTTGGTGCGTTGCTCTGGGGGGGCGCGCAGGGGCCACACCACATCTAAGCGCACAAGATCAGGGATGCTGGGGGGGGGGCTTCTAACCAACAACAGCGGAGTCCCGACCCTCCTTTTGAAGCAAAATGGGACTCGTGTAGAACAATTGTAGTCGGAGTGGATCCCAAACCGTGCGTGAATGCACTGTGGAGGTGACAGTTGTGCGGTGCAAGCTACATGGTGACACATACGTCGTGTAAGCTATGTGGTTTGAGCTATGCATGAGAAAGCTGTGTGCTGTACGCTATGCTGAGAAATGTATGTCGTGTAAGATGTGCGGTGTGAACTGGATGCGAAAGCTGTGGGATGGGATATAGGCTGTATACTTGCGCTGTGTTGTGTAAAATATGCGGTGTAAGCGAGGTCGTGCAAGCCATGTGGCGTAAGTTGTGCGGTGAAAGCCGTGACGTGTAAGCTCGAAGACAGGGGCGCACACGAGGCGCCCCAGCTGGCGCCCCAGCTGGCGCCCCAGCTGGCGCCCCAGCTGGCGCCACGATCGCAACCTCGGCAGACCCCTCGAGCACGGGGCGCCCCGGCTGGCGCCCACGACGCGGCACGCGCAACAACGTGGCGCAACCTCCGCAGACCCCCCCACGCACGGGGCGCCCGGCTGGCGCCCACGACTCGGCACGGGTGGCAACGTGACGCAACCTCGGCAGACCCCCACGCAGGGGGCGCCCACGAGGCGGCACGGGCGGCAACGTGGCGCAACCTCAGCGAACCTGCCATCGCACTGGGCGCTCACGGTGTAGCAGCTCACTATTTGCGGTCCACGCTGGCGAACGTCCCTCCGCCCCAAGACATCGGAACAAAGTCAAAAACAGCTCCCAAAAGGTGCCAGAGATATACGACAAGTGCTCCAATTTCAATCTGAGAGGGCCCGGGCTGGCGACGAGGCGAGCTCGCTGGACACGCCCGACGCGGGCACGGACAAAAAGGGGCACGATGCGCCACGGCAGACGTTGTCCAACACCGACAGCGGTCGCTGCTGGGCAGGCGACCTCCCGCCTGGCGTGGACAATGTCCGCAACCATGCCGATAGTGAGCCCAGTTCAAAACGGGCAGGGACTTCTGTCGGTCTTCGTCACCAGTATTTGGCCGTTTCGACCTCCCTCCGAAACGCGGGCCTGAGCAGCTCCTCCTTCTTGGCGAGCTCCGCCGCGTACTCACGCAGCAACCCTCGAGCCCGTTGTTTGATTGTTAGAAATAACGCCCGTGACCGGCCCTGCCACCCCGCACCCCCTGGTCACGTCACGATTCGCGCTGGCGCCGTGCGGGAATGAGCCATTTTCAGGCATTCTCAGACGGCGCTGGCGCGACTCGTGGCGTGACCCGGCCCCTCCCCCCCATTCCCCCCGGCCCCCCAGTCACGCCCATTGTATCGCCAGAGGGTAAAACAAAACGCTCTACACGTGCACCTGCGGCCCCAAGAATATACACCACCACCACCATCACCTCCACTTCCCCTCCCTCCTTTACCCTCCTCTTCCCCTCCTCTCTTTGGGAAGGAGGGTACAGAAGCGGGTAAGTCCGATCGGCGATCGGCATGAATCGAATCGGCGGAAGTCGATAGCCGACTCGGGAGAATTCGAGTCGGCGGTAATCGGCAGGCAGCAGGCCTCCATTGAGAAACGGGAGTCCAAATCGGAACCCGAAGTCGAGTCGAATCAGAATCGAAGCCATCGGAGCCGAATCGAATCGTATCGAAATCTAATCCTGTCTCCTCCCCTGCAAACACCCTTTCACGCCCGTGAAATCTCCAGGGGACAAACAACAAATGCCTACGAGGAGGAGGAGGAGGAGGAGGAGGAGGATATGGAAAAAATGCATCCTCCGGACATGCCCAGGAAGTCCGCCCCCGAGCGCAGAGCGGCCCTGACCTCCGCCAGCTCCTCCGCCACGGCCCCCAGGCTGAGCGCATGGGCCCCCAGCGGCGGCCGGCCGCAGCGGCTCTTGGCGCCCTCGTGGGGCGGCGGCGGCGGCGGCGACGGACCCGGACGGCCCCAGATCTGCGACGATGTGATTTGTTCCATCCCGGTGGCTTTCGCTCCATGTCGGTCCCTGGGAGCAGCTGTTCTGTTCGGACCTCGGGGCCATCCAAAACGGGTCCAGGGCGCAGAACTACCCCCGGGGAATGAATCCAGACCTCTGGGGTCGAGGATTGAGCGACTTATATCGGCGGATAGCTTGGTTCGACGATGCGACTACCTGAACAGCTTGTCTGCAAGGGTTCTATGTTTTCTTGTTAGAAGGCACGGTGACGGATGCCAGGGCCCTAGAATCGGTGGCCCATCGTGACCCCCCATCGTGGCCCACCATCGTGAACTGTGTCAAGCCGTTCAGGTTCTTCTGCCGAAACTGTGCCATCGTTTTTCAACCCGCGGCCCAAAGAGCTCTGGACCCCTTTCTTAAGGGCAGTACCCGCCCTATATCCGTGTCTGATGGCCGCAGGGGCCTGAAGCCGAACCTCCAGATGCCGAGAGGGAACGAGAAGCTGCCTACATTGAAACAACAACATGTAATCGTCGGTCGGAAGAAGTATGTAAAAACATGAAGTGGGAGGGCGTTGAAGTAGGTTGGATCTCCGCCCCCTGGAGAAAGGGGAAGAGGGAAAAACACTCGATCCTTGAAGTAGTAAGGTGCCTAAAGTAAATTGGGACTTGGGCATCCACAAGTAGCTAGTTTCATCGACCAGCGTGTATCGTTGGAGATCTGGGGAGGGGGTGACGGCGGCGAGGACGGCGAAGTGGGCGAGGACAGAGACGGCGAGAAAGGGAAATGGAAGAAATGATGAGTAGGCTGAGAAGGAAAAAGGCTTGTGCAGTCCGAGACCCTGTGGCTCAGACTTGAGGAGGAGTTCGAATAGGAGGGGGAGAAGGAGGAGGAGGAGGAGAAGGAGGAGGCGGAAGGAGTAACAGGAGTAGAGTATGTTATTTGGACGTGGACTCGTGTGAATCCCTAACTTTCTGCAGAAAGACAGGCGTCATCAGCAGAGGCAGCGCAAGCTGCCACCAGGCCAGAATTGATCACTGGCAGGGAGAAAAGGTCAATGCGCCAACATCCCCGAGGGGTATCCGCCCGGCGGGAGGGGGTTACCCCGTCGCCCACCCCGAAGGAACCCCACGCCGGACGTCCGGGTCCCGAGGGCCCTCGGAGCACCCCGACGAGGAGTACCTATTGGAGGGGGCGCTGACCGCGATGCAAAATGCGGGCAGCCCCGCAGACGCCGCCTGGGCGCTCCAGCTGTTCCTCCCGGGGGGCTCGCTCGAGCTACACCCGACGACGCGAGTAACATCCCTGGCTGGGCACCGAAGCCCCTGACCAGGCATGAAACCATGAAACCACGCCGCAACAGGCTTCACTCAGGAGGAGGAAGGGGCCGAGGAGGAGGAGGCGGAGAGGGAAGAGGGGCGGAGTTGGGGAAGGAGAATGAAGGGAAAAAGGAGGAGAGGACGAGGGGAGTGGCAGGAGGAGGCAGGAAGGCAGAAGGAGGAGAAGGTGGATCAGTAATCGCAATAAAAGAATGATTGATATCAAGGGAATTGGGTCATGGGTCCTGACGGAAATCATGTACAGGACCCCGGGCAAATCAATATCGAATCGGGACTTCGGATCGAATCAGAAAATACGTCGGATCGGGACGCACGGAGTCGAAATCGAATCGTATCGTCTGCGCCAAAATGCACAACAACGCCATGTAAGCATCGGGAACCGGGACGCACCGCATCGCCAGAATATCGAAATTGAATCGGATCGGGCCGAATGATACCGATATCGATAGCGAATTGGTCGGATCGAAATGGATCCTGTCCCAAGGGCTTTCCGCGGGACAAGCTGTTCCGCCCCGAGCCTGTTTCTGGCGGTCCTTGGTGCGATCACGGGAAGCCTCATAACCTCGTTCGCTCACCCGGTTCCGTATATCTAAGAATCACTGGAGGCACGGCCAAACCCAAACATGCGAACACGATTACGTACAAAGCTATCCAAACACCTGGTAAATGAGATGAAAAGGAGGCGCTTCCACCCTTCCATCTGCATGCATGCATGCATGCGTTGGGGTAGGGGTGCGGTCTTGGCCATTTCCGTCCTGCTTATCCAGGCACCGAACCTTCCAGATCCTTCTTTAGTGATCGAGAGAGAGAGAGAGAGAGAGAGAGAGAGACACACACACACACACACCGAGAGAGAGGAGAGAGGGAACGTTAGGAAAGGGAGAGAGAAAGAGAAAAAGAGAGAGAGAGAGAGAGAGACGGATCGCCAGAGAGCGAGATCAAGTAGGTGCGCTCGCACCATAGGTGGCATCATGTCCCTCACGACCATCGCTTCCCAATGCCAGGGCCGAAATAATTTTGCATCCGCTGACTTTGGTGTCCCTGATGCCCCTGGTCCCGTCCGATGTGCCAACAGGTTACGGAAAGATAATAATGATGATTATGCTGATGGTGATGATGATGGGGAGGAGGAGGAGGAGGAGGAGGAGGAGGAGGACGAGGAGGATTTGTGTTTTGCCGCAGCGCAGCATGCCACCCGCACGTCACCGCAGGGGAAGGCGAGACCCCCGAGGCAAACAACCAAACCACAAACCGACCTCTAACAGGCAGGCTCGAAGGTGAAACCCGCGGACACTGGCTGGGCGAGAAGAAACAAACGGTGAAGCCCTGCCGGGTGCCACCATGGCAGGAAAGCGCCATGCTAGACTAGAACGACCCCGTTCTAGACTAGAAAGGCCCTGTTCAAGATCCGCGCGTCGCCAGCAGCCTCCAAGCCCTAGTACTCCACGATCTGGTCGGAGCGAACCAGCCTGATCAGGACAGCGCCACCTCCAGCAGGGGTGTGAAGGCCCACGTCGCCGAACATCACCTCGGCGCCATTGGTGGTGACCGCGGTGCCGCGCGGCCCGACTGACGTGGTCTCGACCGTCACCATCACGATGTGAGGCACCACCGGCGATGCGGGGCCAGCGGGGCGGCGGCGGCGGCGGGGGCCGCTGCCGCAGGCGCCCCGAGACCCACTGGCAGGACAGCGGCCAGCGGCAGGGCGGGCCCGCCCGCGGCCAGGAGGGCTGCAGGAACCCCGATGGCCACAACCCCGGCGGCGGGCGGCGCGGCCTCCAGCCCCAGCGGCGCGAGCACGAGCGGAGCGGCCGCAGCGGGGGCAGCCGCTGCTGGCTGGCCAGCAAGAGGTGGGGCCCCGCCCACGGCGAGCACACCAGCAGCAGGCCCAGCGCCGGCAGCGCCTCCAGGGGCGCCCGCAGCGGGGCGCGGCCACACGACCTCGACCAGGCTGCCCGTGGGGGGCAGCACGGCATGCTGCCCCGCTGCCCGCTCTCGAGCAAGATACTCGTCGTTGCAGGGCTTGCGTGTTGCCGTCACGAGGGCTGCGAGGGCGGCAGCGTCAGGGTCGCGGTCGAAGCGGTAGACGAGGTTGCGCGGGACGCGTTGCGGCGGAGGCCGATGCACATCTGACCAGCGCCAGGCCTCGATGTCCCGCGATGCGCCCGAGAGGTCGATCAGCTCGGGGTCGCCGTCGGGCGAGACCCCGATGACCTCATCCGCGTCAGTCGCTTGCGTCACCGACGAGACCAGCATCCCGACGACGCGTCGCTGATGATACAAATCCTCGCCCACAGCCAGGGTCTCAGTGCAGGCGGAGGGCTCGCCGCTGCCATGGCGGCCACGGCGGCAACACAGAGAAGCGAAAGTCCGCACGACCTCCAAGCCGCCCACCGCGAGCGCCGTGAGGAAGGCCCCTGCGGCCGCACTTGCCACGGCGGCTGTCCAGCGGGCGGCACTATTGCCGAGCGCGGGCCCCACGCTGGGGCAGCGGGGGCAGGCGGGCACGCAGGACACAGCGGCGCCGTTGGGCAGTGCACTTCCGCGCAGATCAGCGAGCCGCAGGCCGCGTCGGGGCACCGCGGGCAGGAGGCACACCAGGCCAAGGCTGCCTCTCCTGCCCAGTGCGCCGCCAGGACGGGGAGGTCGGGCATGCACTGATGCGCAGCTCGTATGGCCCCTCTCCCCCTTAAAAGCTTGAGAGCCCCGCACGGCGGCAGGGCGACGTCATGGCAAAGAATCAGAATCTACACGCAACCCCGTCCACTAAGACTCAAAGGAGGAGGAGGAGGAGGAGGAGGAGGAGGAGGAGGAGGAGGAGGAAGAGGAAGAGGCGAGGATGCGGCGGAGGAGGAGGCGGAGGTTCAGGACGACGACGACGACGTCGACGACAACGACGACGACAACGACGACGACGACGATTACGACGACGACGCCGACGACGACAACGACGACGACGAGGCCTCCCCCGCGGCGGGCCAGCCCACCACCTGTGCGTCCTCCGCGGGCCCGCGGTCGCCGCTCCGCGCCATGGCGCGCTTTCCAGGGCTCCCGAAGCGCGCCCGGCCGCTCGGGCCGTCGGGCAGCCTGCTGCAACGCAAGCCGGCGGCGGGGGCGAGGCGGGCGCCTCGTCCCCCCCGCTCTTGGTGGGGGATGAATGAGGATCAATAAGAGGACCCCCAGTCCGACCTCAGTGAGGAGGCCAAACGCATCAGAAGCTCTTTTTTGTCTGGCTCTTGTTTCTTCGATGAATGAAGATCGGGCGCTGGTGTGACCTGGAGGTTCTGTGGGACCTGGTTCAGAGATGCGTAGCGGGGGCCCCCCCCGCCCAATGGCCCCGCTCCACCGACTGGAGCTGCCGCCGCCCGAAGAAACACAAGCTACGGGAGAGCTGTTTCTAAGGATTCTGGCATCTGTTCGTTTCTTTGGGGTCCGATCACTAACCAGGTGTCCTCACCCTGACTCCGAGAGGAGTGGGGAGGAGGTTAGAGCGTCATAGCCTGCAAAGGCAGCACGAGCTGACGAGTTCGAGCCTGCCGAAAAGATGGGGATCTAATGGGGCTTATTCTCCTGGAGGGCCAGATGATACACATATAAATGGAACGCCTTCGAGCCTGCCGAAAAGATGGGGATCGAATAGGGCTTATCCTCCTGGTGGGCCAGATGATACACATATACATGGAACGCCACGTATTCTAAGGTTTCGTGTTGGGGGTGGATCTCTCCCCCCCTCATTCTCCTTCTCTCCCCCTCCTCCTCGTCCCCTCTTGTCCTCACAGGTGGAGCCGACACGTTTTCATGGGAAGTCGTATCGCATCAGCTGCCCAGCGACAGCGGGGTATGTCATCCCAGGCGTGGCTCTCGATGGTTAGCCGTGTGAGAAAATGTAGGCATGGTGATTCACAATCGTGGGGCGCTTTGTCTTGCTTTTGCTTCACAGTCGGGCGCTCTGTACTATTGTGTTGAAATTCGCTTCTGCTTCGCAATCGAATCGGTGCCAAGTGTGTACTATCTGCCCACACGCCCGTCCTGAAATCGGGCTTTGGCGGCAGTGGTGCCCAAGAGCCGTGCCAGGGCTGGCGCAAAACGCATAGTTTGTTTCACTCTATTTACCCACGCGTCCGCCAGGGATGCACGGCTTCAGTCAGTACCTCGTAGAGCTCTTCGGCATCGATGAGCTAGAGGAATTCTGGCGCGGGGTGCAGCTAGTTTGCCAACCCGGCCCGGGCGGACAATGTGATGACCTGGGGTTGGTTTTTCGGATATTTCGAGAGATTTTGAAATTCGTTTTGGGAACCAATATTTTTGTAACGTAAAGTGGGTTGTGCCGCGTTCGCCGGTCGAATTCCCAGGTTCGTAGCTGGAATATCACTATCAAAAAACGTGGAGGAACAATGGGCTGTGGAAATGCATTTTTTAAGGAGTATAGAATACGTTCGATTTTCTAAGCTCATGCTCCAACGAACTCATCGGATCTGAAGGATTCCGCGATTCCAGAGCTCTACGAGGGTCCCGGCGGAAACTTGGTTGACGGTTTACCGCCGGCTCCCAGTTCCGGGGCGCTGGAGAGCTAGTTGGCAAGAACAATCTCAACGGACCTTTTGGTGACTTTTGGTCGGTTGAAAATTTGGTTCTCGAAATTCCTCAATTCGTTTGAACTGTAGTATTTGTTCCCATGATATTCGATCATATTCCCGCTCGCCGTCTTGATCCCAGCTCGATCGGGTACCTTTTACTGCCAAAAAGCACACGGGCGGGATCGGCTGTTTCAAGTCATCTCGACAGATGTTGTCGGCTTTTTGTAGTTAACTCGAGCTATAGGACCGCTACAGAGCTGATACTTACAGAAACCGATTTGGAATGATCAGGCGCGTTTGTCTGTTGAATCCAGAGGTCTGAACTCGGTCTGCTGCTCGAGCTGGGTCCGCGAAGCTATTCGTATTATTCGAATCATCTTGAGACGTGCTGTCGGTTTTCTGCACAAAACTCCTGTGGGGCGGCTACAGGGCTGGTAATCAGAGAAACCGATTCGGAGACATCAGGCGCGTCCGTCTGTCGCATGCAGAGGTCTGAACTCGGTCTGCTACTCGAGCCAGGTCCGCAAAACTAGCATCTCAACAGGGACTGACGGTTTTCTGCACTTAACTCGAGCTCTAGGGTAGCTACAGAGCTGATACGCACAGACACCGATGCAGAATACTCAGGCGCGTTCGTCTGTTGCATGCCGAGGTCTGAACTCGATCTGCTACTCGAGCTAGGTTCGCGAAACTGTTTGTATTGTTCGAGTCATCTTGAGAGGTGCTGTCGATTTTCGCACGTAAACCGGGTTGTAGGAGAGCTACAGAGCTAATGCGCACAGAAACTGATTCGAAATTGTCATGCGCGTTCGCCTGCTGCATCCAGAGGTCTGAACTGGGTAGCTACTCGGGCTAGGTCCGCAAAACTATTCGCATTCTTCAAGTCACCTTGACATATGTTGTCCCTTTTCTGTATTGAACTCGGGCTGTAGGAGAGCTGGTACGCACAGAAAACGATCCAGAAGCATCAGGGGCGTTCGGCGGTTGCATCGAGAGGTCTGAAATAGCTCGGGCTGGAAAACTGTTCGTTCTCTGCTGTTTTTTTGACATAATATATGGTCAGGAAGCTCTACGAGTCCCCCGGCGGCAAGAAAGGTTGACGGTTTACCGCCGGCGCCCAGTGGCTTACCCCGCCCGGGCGGACAATGTGACAACCTGGCGTGGTTTTTCGAAGATTGTGAAAGATTTGAAAATTCGTTTGGGGAACCACTATTTTTGTAACGTGAAGTGGGTTGTGCCGCGTTCGCCTGTCAAATTCGCAGGTCGCTAGCTGCACTATTCTGTCAAAAAACATGGAGGAACCTTTGGCCGCGGGAAATACTATCCCAAATTATTCTGGTCCCGTGCATTCGATAAGAGCCTGAACGCAAGATACATTACTCCAGTATTTCTCTGCATATGTAACAGGTTATGGCGCGTCGGTCTGTTGAATATCGAGATCCCGAGTTGTCATTGAAACACAACCTACACTCAAATATATTTCAAATGATTGAGAGGCAAATATGCACTCGAGCTCTCTGGTCGACATCTGAGCATGACAAGGTGACTCGAGAGCTCTACGAGGGTCCCGGCGGTAACCTGGTTGACGGTTTACCGCCAGCTCCCATCAGTTGGGGGTGGATCAGGCCCACAGTGAGGAGGGGGTCCATCGAAAGGGGGAGCAAGAAAATCAGACTTTCTCTGTCTACGGGCGAGCATATAGGTTGGCGAGCAGTGACGCAAGTAATGCTACAAGGGGGAGGAGGGGGAGGAGGGGAAGAGGTGGGGTATCCACCTCCTCCTCCCCCCCAAGTCCTCCTCACCATTCGCTACTTATTTTCCCTCCTCCTCCTCCTCCTCCTCCTCCTCCCTCCCCTCCTCCTCCTGTTCTCCGCCTCGAAGGTCTGCACGGACTGCTTGGGTCGGCTCGACAGGACAGAAGAAACCCGCGCGGACATCCGAAAGCTCATGACTCGGCAACTTCTTGTTCCTTACCCCGTCCCTCCCTTCTCAATTCCCCTCCTCTCCCTGTTGTTGCTGCTGCACCTCTTCCAAGGGGAGGTTGGGCAGGAAGATGGAAGAAAAATGAGCGAGGATGCAAGGAGTAGTCGGGTACTCTTCGTGCGCCCTGGAGGGCTCCTGAAACCTGGTCGCCCTCCTTCCCCCTCCCCTCCCCCGCCCTCCCCCCCCTTCCTCCTCCTCCTCCTTCTGTTGCCCCCCTCCTCTTTTTTGATTTCAGCGGACTTTACAACCTAGGTTCCATCCGAACCCAGGTTACAACCTAGGTTCCAACCTAGGTTGCAACCTAGGTTCCATGTAAGAAAAAACTCATCAGCACATGTACGCACCGTCTGATGATCTGGGCGAAGAGCGCAACGGGTGAAGCTTGCCCGCGCATCGTGGAACGAAACATGGATGCCAGAGGTACAGGAATCAAGCTCCTTCTCCTCCTCCTCCTCATACTCATCCTTCTCCTCATTCCTCCTTTTCCTGCCCTTTTTCTCCCTTCCTGTGTTCGGCCAGGGCCCCCACCCTGCCCTTCCCGCCCCCCCCGGGGGACGCCGGATGAGCGCCCGGCCGCCTGCTGTTGCTGGCCCTGCTGGCGCCTCCTGCTCTGCGTGACGACGTCGTTGACCTCCAGCAGGAGGGCCAGGGGAGGAGGAGGGAGAGAAGGGAAAAGATAATTACGCTACCGAGGAACCCCACATACTTATGTTATGACTGGAGTGATGATAGCTGAAAAGAAGCATGTGAGAATGAAGTTGGTGGCCGTTCCCTGCGCGCCCCCTCTGATGTCGAGAAAATGACACGCCTGCTGCGCCGTGCGAGCCTGCAAAGAGACCGCACCCCACGCGCACCCCCCTCTGTTATCGAGACTTTGCCACGCCTGCCGCGCCCTGCACGCCTGAAACGCATAGAGACCGCACCCCCTGTGCACCCACTCTGGTGTCGAGAATTCCCACGCCTGCCATGCCCTGCGCACCTGCAACGCATAGAGACCGCACCCCCTGCGCACCCTCCTGGTGTCGAGAAAATGCCGCGCCTGCCGTGCCCTGCACGCCTGCAACGCATAGAGACCGCACCCGATGTTCCGCCTGCCGTGCCCTGCGCGCCTGCAACGCATAGAAACCGCACCCCCTGCGCACCCTTCTGTTGTCGCGAAAGTGCCGCGCCAACCGTGCCCTGCGCGCCTGCGACGCATAGAGACCGCACCCCCTGTGCACCCCCTCTGGTGTTGAGAATTCCCACGCCTGCCGCGCCCTGCGCGCCTGCAACGCATAGAGACCGCACCCCCTGCGCACCCTCCTGTTGTAGAGAAAATGCCGCGCCTGCCGTGCCCTGCGCGCCTGCAACGCATAGAGACCGCACCCGATGTGCACCCCCTCTGGTGTCGAGAATTCCCACGCCTGCCGCGCCCTGCGCGCCTGCAGCGCATAGAGACCGCACCCCCTGCGCACCCTCCTGGTGTCGAGAAAATGCCGCGCCTGCCGTGCCCGCGCCTGCAACGCATAGAGACCGCACCCCCTGTGCACCCC